ATAAATGTTAGCTGGGGGGGATTCGTGAAGCTCAGTAAATAACTGAGCAAGACTTCGAGCATTCTTGTCAGAAAAGAGGGGACTTAGCAGTTCTGCAGGCCCCTGAGTGAGCCACAGTCTCAGAGTGGACGGGGACAAAACAGAGAATGTCCAAAGATGGGGAGCAACCTGGGGCACAGAAAATCAAGTCACAGGAAGAAAAAGGAGAATTTGAGCCCATTCATAAAATATGAATAGCAATGCTTTCTCATGGGGTTGTGGGGAACCCCTGACACATGCCTGGTGTATATAAGTGTACCACAAATGGTAACTAGTATTATTTATTTAGGTGGAGAAGAGAAGCTGCACACGCAGTTTCAAATAGTGAATGACTTTCATCTGAAAGTGGGATTTGAGTAATTTTACAAAACTTCCATGAAAGAATTTCCCAAGGATAGAAGTGTCAGGGAAGCAGATTTTCATTCATCTTAAGGAGGAGGGCAAGAGCTAACATTGATTCAATGTATCTATGTGCCATGCTGGGTGCTTGTGAGGGGCTTAATACTGGTGGTTGTATGTCATTTGTCCAATAACTTGAACAGGGAGTTATTATTATCTTCATTTCACAGCTGATGGCCACAAGATCAGACAGAGCAGGTTGCTTACCCAAGGTCCTGCAGCGCCCACCTGACGTCCCCCAGGAGGAGCTGCAGGGCCTTCTCTCTAGGAGGTGGCAGAGGGGCTTCCTGTGTGCAAAGGAAGGTCCCACCATCCCTTTTGGAACCTCAGCCTGGTCCTGCAAAATTTCACCTCACACTACTGGAGTCTAGGTCCCGAGTCCCTCCTTACAACCCCCTCATTTCTGAGTTCAGCTGCGAGGCCACTCCGGGGACGCCAGGTTGCCCCTTCGTCCACACAGTTGCCTGTCCTTCCCTCCAGGCTGTTGTGGGCCCTGGGGAGCCAGGCAGGCTGGGGATGGAGGCCGCGCAGCGAGGGTGGAGAGCACAGGCCCTGAGCAGCAGGAGACGATGAGAAGCAGGCACCAGAACCCGGGAATCCACAGCTTTACCTGCCCCAGGGCCCAGCTGCTGCGCTTGCACAGTGCAGACCACAGCACCAGGTGACATCAGCTTGGCTAAAGCTCCTTTGGAAGTGAGGAAGGAGGGAAAGAGAGGATCTCTTGTCAGGCCTCCAACCCTGCCACCAGAGGATGGAAAAATCTGACCCCATCCCTGTGCCTTAAACTTAGACACTCAAGAAACATTTATTCAATTCATTGTTTACGTTCTTTGGTTAAGGGGTATAAGTAAGTTTAACAGGCAGGAGCTATACATGCATAATCCTCTGCGTTCCTCTCAGGAAAACCATTAAATAAAGGAAGAAATTGAAGCTCAGAGAAGTTCTGTAAGATGCCGAGGTCACACAGTAATAAAGAGATCAGGTGTGTTCTCACTACTGAGCTTTCTTGTCTCTCAAAACAAGGAACCAGCTCACCTTGTCTCTCCCAGCTCCTCAGCTCCCGAGGCAGCAGGGACAAGAGCCCTGGGCCTGTTCTCCCATTCCAGACACATCTCTTCTCTTCCAGACACAGGCTGTGGCTCTGCCGTGGGGTTCCTGGTCTGGCAGAGCCAGGGCACAGGGTGGGGGGTAGGCTTCACCTCTGTGATGGTCTATTTTGTGTGTCAACTTGGCTAGGTCACGGGGTACCCAGACATTTCAAACACCACTCTGGGTGTTTCGGGAGGGTGTTCTGGGGTGAGATGAACATTTGAATTGATAGAATCAGTAAAGAACATTGCCCTTGCCAGTGTGGGTGGGCCTCGTCCAATCAGGTGAGGGCCCGAATAGAACAAGAAGGCTGAGTAAGTTGTAACTCTGCCTGCCTGACTGCCTGAACCGGAACCGCGGTCTTTTCCTGCCTTCAGACTCAAACCGAAACCTCAGCTCTCCCTGGATCTCAGGCCTGTGGATAGCAGATCTTGGGATTTGTCAGCCTCCATAATCACATGACCCGATTCCCTATGATAAATCCCTTTCTGTATATAATACAGGCTCTTGGTTCTTTTTCTCCGGAGACCCCTGACTAATACACCCTCCCTGACTCTCCCTTCGAGGGTCCCCTTCCTAAGGGGAAAGGGCAGGTTGAGGAGCCCCACCTGAGTTCCATGTTCCTGATGCCCCAGCTGAGAAAAGGCTGGGGGGCTGATAACGCAGGCGGCGTAGACTAACTCTGCATCAGCACAAGCTCTTGCCGCCGCCAGAGGATCCTTGAAAGCTCCCCTGATTCACACGGCTGGAACTCTCCTGTTCTCTCCAGAGACAGGGGCCAGCCACCCTGAGCGGGACAGTGCTGCCAGATCCCCACACTGTATTTCCATAGGAACCTCTAAGGGACTTCTGAGGAGATTCCCAGTTTGGGGAGTGGGGGAATTAAAATGAGTGGCCCATATGGACTGGTCACCAGGGGCAGTCAAACCTGACTCTCAGGGACCACCTGCCATTCTGCCCCATAGCTGCGTTAGGAGGGAACGGGGACTCGAGACCCTGAGGAAGGCATGGAAGGTCCGAGTGAGGGTGGGATAGGGGTCTGTCCATACAGCCTCCATCCTTGCAGCCACTGTCCCAGGCAAGTGAGAAGGCAGAGTGCCACAGTGACATCTCTGGGCCCTGGAGGAGTCACCTGGAATTCAAGTCTGACAGCTCCTGTCTTGGCTGAGCCTTGGAGAACTTGAAACCAGACATCAGATCCCCCTTCTCACTGGAGTTCAGGAATCTCATCCTCCGTCTAACCCTGCCACCAGAGGATGGAAAAATCTGACCCCTTCTCGGGCTGTCATTCAGAGACAGCTAGACAACAGGACATGCTCGGAGAGCTAGAGAGAGGGAGAATTCAGAGAGTCCTGGACAGCAGGAATGCTGGGCTCCAGTCCAGCTCCGGGGTCCAGACTTGATATTTCAAATCTAGCCAGGAGCATGAATGGTGCACCTACTGCATGCTGTTCACCCGTGTGTGTGCATGAGCGCATACGTGGACAGGCATGAATGATATCAAACACATCTGGGTGCATGAATTATACCAAAGATTTGTAAAGTACATAAAAAATACATGTACAACTTGAGGAACTGTAACTGTCACTCAACTCAACGAACAGCACATTTCAGCACCCCAAAAGCCCCCCGTATGCTAATTTAAGTCTTGTCGTTTGATATTCATAATATACTCTTTACAACAAACAAGGTGTTATTCTCCCAATCCCTGTGTTCGGGAGTCCTGTGTTGGGCAGGTGACTGGACCAGAAGAGTTTGGGGTCTTTCTCAACTCTGTTCAGTGACTCTAATTTTACAATACCCTTCCAGTGAAAATGCAGGGAGCTGGTGGTCCTCTCCCCTGGGTCTGCCCCAGCCACGTCCTGCCCTCCCCTCCCCAACTCTGCATTATGGATGGAGTGAATCATCTCGTAAATAATTCACGAGTCATCGAGGCACTGAGGGTAACAGGAGAGCAGGGGTGGAGGCATGGGCAGGGCTGAAGTTGGCAACCTGAGCCAGACCACCATCCTCCCAGGGCTGGGCTCTGCTCTGGGTAGAAGGGGCCTACAAGTCAGGCAGGAGCCTCAGGTGGGTGGCCACCAGGGAGATGGGGCCATGGTGGGTCAGAGGGCCCAGCACGACCCGGTCAGCCTCCTGCTGCTGATACGCCTCTGCCTTCTGCACCTGAGGGCCTCAGGTGAGTGACACTCAGATCCCCCCGGGGGTTCATTTCCCACTCCCATCCCACTATTCCTGCCTCTTTCTGAGGGATCCTCCTTTTGCACTTGTGTAGCCATTGCATGAAGTCCATTCAGTCATTCATCCGCTAGACATTTAACTAGCGTTCACTGAGTGACTACTATGTGCCATGTAGGTGATAGCACTCTGCTTTACCTTCAGAAGCTGGAGCCATCCTGAGAGCCACTGTGAGGTGGTAAGCTTAGGAGTGGCATGGTCAGATCTAGGTTTCAGAAAGTTGCCGGTTTTTGAGGGGGATTAGGGCAATCAGGAGATCATGGCCATAATCCAGGTGAGAGATGCTGGCATCTCAGGCCAAAGCAATGTCCATGGGGTTGGAAGAAATTGGTTTCCGGGTTACGTATTTTTATTCTTTTTTTTTTTTTTTGAGACGGAATCTTGCTCTGTCACCTAGGCTGGAGTGCAGTGGTGTGATCTCGGCTCACTGCAACCTCTGCCTCCTGGGTTCAAGCGATTCTCCAGCCTCAGCCTCCCAAGTAGCTGGGATTACAGGTGTGTGCCACCGTGCCCAGCTAATTTTTGTATTTTTAGTAGAGCCGGGGTTTTGCTATGTTGGCCAGGCTGGTCTCAAACTCCTGACTTCAGGTGATCCGCCCACCTCAGCCTCCCAGAGTGCTGGGATTACAGGTATGAGCCACTGAGCCCGGCCCCAGGCACTTATTTTCATGCAAATTTGCTGAGGCCCTCAGCACTTTATGGCATGAGGCCCACCCTGACCGCATGTGAGGGGACAGCGGGGAACATGGTACTTGGGCTTAGGCTGCGGTTGAGGGCTGGGCCCTGAGCCAAGAATACCTGTTGAGTGACTTACTCCACAGGAACTACTTAATGGCTGGTCCCTGACGGACTGGGAGCTCCATGAGAGCAGGGATGGGGGGTTCATTTGTCCTTGTGACCCAGCACTCTATGCTTAGCTGAATGAATGCTGGATGGGCTGATGCGGGCCGTGTGCTCTTCCCCTTGCTGCAATGCGACTGGAACAGGGTGGGATGAGCCAGGGATCCTCCTGGAATCCTTACACAGGGAACTCCAGACCCAAGCTGCCAGCGGCCATGCGGGTCTCCTTATCTCCAGGGTCACCGTCGTCACAGGACTGATCATCAGCCTCATCTTGGGGTGCTTGTTACAATTGTGGATTCCTGGGCCCCGGCCCCTCCCCACCGCGGCGGGTGTCCGACCCCATAGTCTGGGGTGACGCCCACGAATCTGCCTTTTGAATGGTCTAGTGGCCCATGAGGAGTGGGGATCTCTGCTCCAGTCCATTCTCTGACTTCAGGCAACCCCTCCTTCAGTGCCTCCAAGCAGGACACCCGGAGGCTCCCGCAGAAACTGTCTCTTGCCCACCAACTCCAGAAAAGCTTTTATGTGGTCTTCCTGAACCCTGCCTGGGCCACTTGGGACTGCAGAACCAAACAGAGAGGCTCCAGGCAAGGCAGGGCGTGCAGGAGAGCCCAGAGCAGCCCAGAAGTCCTGCTATGCCCCTTCTCTCCCCAGGCCAGCCCCACCCGACTCCCGAGGCCCCTGCAGAGGAGGTGGTGTCTGTCCAGGGAGTGCGAGGTGGCTCCGTGGAGCTGGCCTGTGGCTCTGGGCCTGCCCCACTGCTGGTCCTCTGGAGCTTCACCCCGCTGGGCTCCCTGGTTCCCCGGCCTGTGGCCGTCACCGATGGAGCCATGTCCAAAGTGGAAGCCATCGCCTCGGCTCTGGGAGTCGTGAGTCTGAGGAACGGCAGCTTGGTGCTGGGGGAACTTCGAGAGGGTGCCCGCGGCCACTTCCTATGCCAGGTTCTGCACGTGGCTGGCGGCCAGCTCCACACTGCCTACTCCCACGTCACGCTGGCCGTGCTGGGTGAGGCCTGGCCCCGGCTGCAGCCGGTCCGCGGGCTGCTTTGGATGTCTCTGCATGTGTGCTGCCCATTCCCTGTGTGTGGGGGGGGTCCAGGTTCTAAAGGGCGCCCCACTCCAGGGACTGAGGAAAGCCGGGGTGATGAGGACGGGATGGTCGGGGGGGTGGGCCGGTGAGTCCCCAGCCAGCGGGGGTGGGGGTGCCGGACACAGCTGGGCGTGTCCTGGGTCTGTAATAACACGGCGGGCCTCTCCCTCCTCTGGCCAGTGCCGGTGTCTAAGCCTCAAGTGCGACTGAGTAACCCGTCCCCTGTGGAGGGAGCCTCCGTGGTGGCCACGTGTGCAGTGCGGGAGGGCACAGAGCCTGTGACCTTTGCCTGGCAGCATCAGGCATCCCAAGGCCTTGGAGAGGCCCTGGTGGGGGTCACTGAGCCACTATTCCGGCTGGACCCGGTCAACCGGACGCACCTAGGCTGGTACATGTGCAGTGCTCGCAACTCCGTGAACAGGCTGAGCAGTGACGGGGCCTTCCTGGACGTCATTTGTGAGTCAGACTGTGGTGGGGGGGCTGTCAGGGCTCACACTCAGTCCCCATCCACACTCAGGTTCCACACCTGAGAACCCTCCAAATCCCTCCTCTGCGGGAGTGGTCCGCCCTCTAAAAGTCTTCAGCAGGCAAGAGTCACGGGGTGCTGTGCCCCTGGTGTCCAGTGCAGCTCTAGTCCCAGGCTGTTAGCCTTTTTAAGGTCACGGACACCCTTTTCCAGGAAAACGTGCATACATTCATGCTTACAATCTCACTCGCGATTTCACTGGCGGCCTGGAAAGTCTGCCTTTAGGTTGAGACTGGAGGGCTCTCAGAAACCAGCGGGACCCCGAGGAGACAGGGGGTGGGGCCACAGTGGGAGGAGAGGGCAGCAAGCCTGAAGTTAGAAATCAGAAGCCCTGGGGGAAAGATGAAGGCCAGGGTGGCCTAGAGCTCGCTGTCCCACACGGCAGCCACGCATGTGTATCTTCGGTCACTTGAAATGGAGCTAATCCAAACTGAGCTGTGCTGTATGCATGGAAGGCACACTTGATTTTGAAGATTTATTCCGAAAGAAAGAATGTAAAATACCTCATCTGTAACTTTTATATTGATTATATATTGAAATAACATTCTGGATATATTTGGTTAAATAGTAAAACACCTGTTGGTGGTTTTTGTTTTTTGCTTGATTGGGTTTGGTCACTTTTACTTAAGATTTGGCTACTAGAAAATGTTAAAAAAAAATTCTGTGGCTGGCATCCGCCTATTGGACAGTGCTGGTCTTAGACGTTTTAAGGAGCAAGGACCAATAGCGTCCTATTGATCGGTCTTCACGGTGGCGGTTTGTGGAAATTGTGAACTGAGGGCTGTTGAGGAGGCAGGTGAGCCGGAGAGTTCTTGAGAAAGAGGCAGGAGCAGACTGGAAGCAGGCAGAGAATTCACAACTCCTTGGGAGTCAGGGAGAGCTTCGAAGATGGTGACCCCGGGCTTGGAACGCAGGAGGGAGGGGAAGGTGGAGTCCCAGGAAGTGAAAGGAGGCGGCTGCTGGGATCGGGCTCAGGGCATCATCCCACTGTGGTATCTGACTCCTGCAGTCTACAGTGGCTGCCTGTCTGCTTCCAAGAGCCCCTCAGTCTCAGGCGCATGGGGAGCACTGGTCTCCTTCCTCTCTTCTGCCCCACCTTGGCCCAACCCAGGAGTCCCTCGAGGAAGCGCCCACAGCCCAGGGCGCCCACCTCCACACATCAGCCCTGAGCAGCCTGGTCTTGCCCATGGTCCCTGGACTCTGAGCTCCAGGAGGGCCTAGCCTCAGGGTGGACACAGGCCGGAGCATACTACATGCCCCCAGGATTGATGCATACATTCAGAGATGAGCATGTGCGTGAATGAAGGAATGACGTTGGGGAGGTGTAACCGGCCTTCCTTGCCTTCCAGATGGTCCTGACAAGCCTGTGATCACCGTGGAGCCACTGGGACTCGCTGAGGAGGGCTTCTGGGCCAGTGAGAGGGAAGAGGTGACCCTGAGTTGCCTGGCTGCCTCCAACCCGCCTAGTCACTATGTGTGGCTCCGTGACCACACGCAAGTCCACACGGGGCCTACCTACATCATCGCCAGAGCGGGCCGTGTCCACACGGGTCTGTACACCTGCCTGGCCCACAACAGCTACCTGGACTCCCGCACCCAGACTACTGTCCAGCTCACCATCTACTGTGAGTGTGGGGTCGGGTGACGCCCAGACCTGGCCTGGGGACAACTCACGCTGGAGCCTTTGTGGGCCTGTTCTCAGGCAGACCCAGCTGCCCCGTGGAGAGGCGTGCCGAAGTCGCTCTTGTTGGAGGGATGTCTCTGACCAAGTGGGGTTGGAGGGCAGGGAAAGAGGATAAGAAAACTATGGGGAGGGGAAGGGAAGCAGGGAAGCTACCGACACTACTAGCCTCCCACCACTAAGTGATTATTCCCGTGGCCCTGCGGACCGAACTGAGGCACAGAGAAGGGCGATGGCAGTGAGGCAAGGTGTGCTGGCTCCTGGGTGCCCAGGGGCAAAGATGAGAATGGGAGATGGGGTCTTCCATGGGGCCTCTGGGATTCCTTGGGGACTCTAAACTCCTGTACACTTGGTAACCTCCTGCCCCTCACCTGAGAGCTCAGCCTGTTCCTCACCAGCCCCTCAGAGAGACTCGATCTTTCCCCTGACCCACTTCTCCCTACTCCTCTACCCATTGACACCCCTGGCCTCCAGACTCCCCTGCCTGGGCTTGGGGCCTGCAGGGCACTGGCAGTGGAGCCTGCCCCAGCCTCACTCACTTCCCCATCCAGATCCCCCTGAGGGACAGCCCTCCTGTGCAGTGCATCCCAGCCCCGGGGCTGTGACTCTGCTCTGCGCCTGGCCTGGGGGGCTTCCGCCTGCCCAGCTGCAGTGGGAAGGACCCCAGGGACCTGGCCCTACTGCCCCCAGCAACGTCACCTGGAGTCATGCAGCCACCCAGCTCTCCAGTGGCAGCATCTTCACCTGCACTGGCCAGCACCCAGCCCTGGCACCGCCTGCCCTCTGCACAGTCACGCTCTGTGAGTGGACACAGGAAACCCCAGGGCTCTGACATTCCAGGCAGAGTGTGGGTAGAGGTCAGGGGAGAGCCGGAGGGCCTGGGATCTGGGTGGCGCTCCAGACTGCAGGCTCCAAAACATGCCACGTAACAAGCAGGTGGGCGGCACTCAGCTCTCAGTCCCCATCTCCCATCTTTCCCATCCACACTGTGCTCTGTCCCCCTCACTTCGGCCTTGGAGCCCTGACACCTCCCCACTGTCCCTGCCTGCAGGGTCAGCAGCCTCTCATTGCCCCTACACTGCCCTTCTACCGCTCTGACGCATGTTGGGCTTGAAATTTGCCTTCAGCATTCTCTCTGCCAAGTGTGCAGAGAGAAACTCCCAGCCATCAGCCAAGACAGAGCTCAGAGGTCATCCTGTCCTCTTTCTGGAAGCCCCAGAGAGTTTGTCTTTCTGTCTATATTCTAGCACACATTAAATCATAATAATTGTTTAATGTGTGTTCCCACCATTTCCCTGGCACATGATCAGCCATCAATAAATGATGAGTGTGTGAATGAGTGAGTGACAAAGTGATGAAGGAAGGAGGGAGTGAAGGAACAAATGAAGGAAGGGGGATAGGGCGGATGTGCCAAGCCCTTCCTCCTTCCACAGGGCCATGCTGAGCCATCATTCTTTCCAGGGGAGCCTCTCGGGAGGCCCACCTGCTGGAGCACAGCCACAATGGGGCACCAGTTCATCATGCTGAGCTGTGAGTGGCCTGGCGGCAAGCCCCCCGCCACGCTGAGCTGGCTTGACGAACAGCAGCAGCCCCTGGGCAGTAGCAGCTCCTCGATGGCCGTTCACCTCCTGCAGGCCCAGGAAGATCTGGCTGGCAGAGAGTTCACCTGCCGGGGCACTCACCTGCTCAGGACCCCTGACCCCCACTGCCACCTCCAGCTGGGTGAGTAGGGGCTAGCGAGTTTGTTCTGGGACTGGGACAGGAGGAGCAACCCTTTGGAACCAGGAGAAAGAGATCTTGGGGGGTGGCTGTGCTGGCATGGAAAGCGAGTCAGTGAGGACGGAGAAGCTAGGAGGTAGGTAGGAGCTGAGCTCCCAGGGACTCAAGTTTTCTTTGATCCATAAAATGAGGGGGTTAGGCTAGGTCAGAGTTGTATAATAAAAATATAATGTGAGCTATATATGTGATCTAAAATATTCTAGCAGCCACATTTAAAAAGGAGAAGAAACACGTGAAACACTTTAGTTAACTCAATATATCCAATATGTTATCATTTCAACATGTAATCATAAAAATTATTAACTAGATATTTGACATCTTATCTTTAAAATCTGGTATATATACAATTACTGCACATCTCAATCTGGCCTGGCCACATTTCAAGTTCCCATATTGACGTGGCTGGTCACTACAATATTGGATAGCACTGATCTAGGTGACGTGGAAATGTCAATCGCATAGTCTTCATTTACATGGATTTGCATAAGAGAGATGCCTGATTATACTGTTGATTTGCATTAATGTTTCCAAAGTCAGTTCTTTACCTCTCTTACTCTGGTTTTGGTCTGGTTCCTCCTTGTCTTCATCTGGCTCTGCCAGTCTATTTACTGCAACCAGGAAAAAAGAATTACATATCAAAGTAAAAAAAAAAATGTAAGAAAAGCAAACAGAGAAGCTGTCACACACAACAGTTCTCACAGAATGGTTTACTTCTTGGTCTCCAAAGGCTTGGTAACTAGCATGTTCTCAGGGCTCTAGGGAGGCCTCAACCCCAAATATTTCCTTCCCTATTACTCAGTCTCAGGACCGGAAATTCCATCGTAGGAGATTCATTGACACCTGAGAGTCTGGGTCTTTAATAAGTCAGTCCATAAAATCTGAGCGCCTGCTATGGGCCCAGCGCTACGCCTGGAGCCAGCCAGGAGGTGGGGGCCACTAGTGGGAGGGAGGACAGGTGCTGGAGGGGGCTGTTCATGCAGAGACGAGTAAGGCAGGGCCCCTGCCTGCAGGAGCTGAGGCTAGGGTGGGGCAGGGAAGGAGCAGGGAGGAACACTGCTCATTTTATCCTGTATCAGCCAGCCCTGGAGCACACTGCCACAGGAACTTGGCGTAGAATGGGAACGTGAAGAGAAAGCAGACTGGCCCCAGACAAGCCTCATTATCAACTCTGCAGCACTCCCGCTCCATCTCCTCTCCATCCCTTCCAATGCTGGCCAGCACCTTGTCCCCAGGCCCTCCCACTAGCCAGCCTCTTCCTCTCTGTCCCCGCAGAAGCCCCACAGCTGGACGTGGCTGAGCCCCGCGTGTCAGTGTTGGAGGGGGGAGAGGCCTGGCTGGAGTGCTCGCTCCGCGGGGGCACACCACCTGCCCAGCTCCTCTGGCTGGGGCCTCAACAACAGCAGGTGGACCATGGCACTTCAGGATTCATGCTGCACCCTGAGGGTGCCCAGCTGCGCCTGGGCATCTACGATGCTGACCCGGCACACCACAGGGGCACCTACCAATGCGTGGCCCGCAACGCCGTGGGTAACAGCAGTCGGAGCGTGCTGCTGGAGGTCCTGAGTGAGTGAGGGGTCGAGTGTGTGTGTGTGGTGAGGTGGGGGCTGGGAGACCAACAGCCACAGAGTGCTGTAAGTGGAAAGGCACAAGGATTCCCCGCTCCAAAATGTGAGCGCTTGAGCTTCCTTGGGCATAGGCAGGACTCAAGAGCTAGATGGATAACATGTGCGTGAATCTGGTACACTCATGGCAGACAGAACGCCATGCAGGCAGCATCACCTCCCTTTCACTTTATACATGAAAAAACTGATGGGACAAGACAGGGCTTCTCAGGTCCACAGACCCCAATCCAGTGCCTTTTCCACACTGCCAGGCTGCCTCTCGACAGGAGCAAATCTGGGGGCACAAGCTCACGTGGTTGTAGGTATACATGTGCCTGTCTGTGTCCCCACCCTCACCCAGGATATCCAGCTCCTCCCAACGTCACCATCAGCCGCCTGACCTACGGGAGGCACCGGAGAGAGGTGCAGCTTCAATGGGCCATCGCAGGCCCCGGGAACCTGACGGGCTTCCTGGTGCAGCGGAAGGCCAGTGCCCTGGGCCCAGGAGCTGGGGCATGGGAGACGGCAGCTAGTGACATCGAGCCAGAGAGCCGAGGCCGGCGGCTGGGAGGCTTGGACCCCGGGGTCCTTTATGCCTTCCGCATCCTGGCTCTGAATCACCACACTGCAGGACATCCCTCTGAGGTGAAGATACCAGGTGCCAGCTAATGCCAGGGAGGGACCCACCTTTTCTCCAAAGCACTGGCCCCTGGTTCATCTTCCTCTTCACAGAGCACCCCCTCCTCTGTTCATTTGCTCCTGTCCTACTGAATTCTCCCGTCCCCAGCCCGTCCTCTTCTCCACTCTCCCCTCAGATAATCACCACGGCTCTTTCCCGTCCCTCCCTGGGGGGCTCAGGAGGCTCCAGGCTGAGGGTTAGGAACCCTAATTCATGTGATCAGAATAGAGAGGAAGGAAAAGGTGCCGGTGACTAAGAACAGGAGCCCACTCTGTGCCTCAGTCTCCCCTCCAGGGCTACAGGCAGGCTCTCGGCTTCCTGCTGCCCCCTCTCCATCCTGGGAATTCCTTATTTTATGGCATACTTCCCTTCAGCCCCAAGCCGCCAAGATAACCAGACTTTTGCCTTCTGCACCAGAAACGGGACTTGGCAGGAGAGGCAAACCCCACAGCACTAGGCAGACAGAGCGCCGTGTTCCTTGGGAGAGACCTGATCTCCGGGTTCTCTGGGTCCCGCATGTCAGCTGCAGGGGGAACTGGATGAGCAGGGCACCGCTTCTCCAGAACCCTGGTGGTTCCCTACAAGCCACTGTGGCTCAAGTTCTGCAGTGGCTCGAAACCATGTAACCTGTGCTCTCCCCTCCTAGTGGACCCCCCCTTCAGTGCCTACCCAGCGGTGTTGGGTGCAGCAGGCACAGGAATGGTGGTGGCAACGGTGGCCTCTCTACTGGTGTTCCAGTATGCTGCCCGGCACCCAGAGACTTTCCCCTGTGAGTGGGAATGGGAAGGGAAGGGCTGCTTGACCCCACAGGGTGGCCAGACCCTGAGCTATCCAAAAGAGATGCAGCACTCCCGGGGGAGAAGAATCTAGGCTCTTCCTTAATTCTGACCCTCTCCCCAGAGCTAGATGTTGCCATTCAGGGCTCAAACCCCCAACCCAGGCACCTGGGGCCATCCCCTTCTGGGTTGCTGAGGCCCTAGTACAGACCCATTGGGAAAGAGAGGGCCATTCTCCTGGGATCTCTGCTGGGCTGGCCAAGTAATGTTCCTTTTCTTTTCCTTCCTACAGGCCTTGGTCAATTGCTTGTTCCCACGTGAGTGTGGCACCCGTCATCCTGGGGGCTAGGGCTTTCCTCCAGTTGGAAAGGAAAGCGAGGGAAGTGAGTTGCCACTAACTTTACTCTCCCACTTCACTCTCAGGGAGCAAAGGCACCAACAGAGGGACTCCAGAGAAGATGCTGAGGTGCAGGCAGGTAAGCACGACTATATCCAGAAAAAGACGACTCGTGTGCAAGGAGACCACTGCTGGGTGCTGAGGGTGACGCTTGGTCTCTCTTGAGCTCTAGGAACATCTGGACACTCCCAAAGCATCTCTCTGTTCTTTGCCCACATACGCTTTTCCTAGGCCTTGAAACACCAACCACCACCCCAGGTTTGGATCCTGCACAAGAAACCACGGATGCTCCAGTGAATGTCACCATCACAGTGACTGCAACACCATGAGGTCCAAAGAGGAAGATGCAGATAGGCTTAGGGAAGGCAGGTGGGATTCGGGAAGAGCACTTCTGTCAGACTTTGGTCGTAAAACCAACGTAGCTAAGACACCAACTACCACTTTCACTTAACACCCAGTCTTTCCAACTGGTGCAAGGCCCTAAGTGACATGGTTACAAGAAAAGCCCTGGCCCAGCTTGTGGAAGACAGAGGTGGCAGGACGAGGAGGAGGACCCACAATTGGGAGAGAAGGATCACTGGGTGTCTGAGGGCAAGTGACAGCCATGGTACTGGGAACCGTCTGTGGTGCTACAGAAGTATGAGCAAGCTAGCTGCTTCCAGAACAAAGTCTGGATGGAGCAATTCCTAAATAAATCAGAGCTGATGTCCACGCCAACAGAGGGCTATTTCCATTGCAACTCCCGCAGAGAGAGGCTGAAGGCTGGGTCCCAGGTGTGGCCAGTGGGGACAAACAAGGTGTGTAGGTGTGTTCCTTCGCTCAACCGTAGCTTAAGAACATCACTGACGCTGCAGTGGCCTGACTCCAGGAGTCCCAGCCCACAAGATACAGAGCGGAGGTACTGCAGATGTAGCTTCCCGCCCCCAGGCTGGGGGAGCTGGCCCACAGAACACCGGGGCTGTTCCAGAGTCACCATGTCAGCTGCCAGCATGACTCACTAGCTCCAAGTGTGTGTGTGTGTTTGTGTGTGTGTCTGCAATCTGGGTGAAAACACAAATGAATGCTTGTTCAACTGACTAGAAGACTCGGGACTCCAAGCCGCCTCTGCAGGAGACACAGATGAGAAGAAACGGCAAGAAAGCCAACGGGTGACCCGCCAGCACAAGGGAAGTGGCGCCTGAAAGGAGACAGAAAATTGAGAAACTGAAGAAGGTTCTGTGGTTCTCACAGAGTTAGCCTTTATTAGATAAGGGGTTTCAGCTACCCTCAAAGCTCTCAGCACTGGGGCTAGGGTGTAAGGAAGGCTTATTTAAATACGGGAAATAAAATACAAAAGGGCCACACCTGATGCAAAAGACTTTGTTGGCTTTCTGGTCAGAGATGCCTAGAGATGTGTATCTTCTTAGGGCAGTAAAACAACACTTTTTCACAAGGCTAAATTTCTATACTGGAGTTCATAACAATGTGGCCCTAGGTTAACGGTAAAAATAGACAATGTGTGAGGCAGGACCGCTCCTCCTCATCCTTCCAAGCTCCTCTCCTACCCACCTCCCTTCCTTCCAAACAAATGCAAAGTTGCCCGGAGGAGCTGGGCCTGCCTCCACATCGCCCCCCAGGCTCAGGCATGTTCTCAGCCTCCCCTAAAACACTTGCCCAAGATCCTGCTCCTTCGGGGCCTTGATCTCTGCAGCCAGAACAGAAGGGGTGTGCACAGGGGAGTTTCAGGGGAGGACAGGGGTGGAGGCTCCAAAGAATTTCAGAGGAAGACATTCGCCCACCCCAGTCACAAACTATAAGCAGCGTTGTACAAACAGGGAGTAGCCCCGCCTTCAGGGGCTAAGCTATATGAAAGCAGCGTTCTCTTTTAATATAAAATCATGTCAACCAAATAAAACCTGCCAAAGCTACATCATTTAAAATATGTACAGTTTCACACGTAACATTACAACTTTAAGGAAAATCAAACATACTTTTCAATATGATACAAAGCATGCATCTCAAAGTCATTACTTTAAAAGAGAGCAACACAGGTAAAATTCAGTCATAAACTTCACGTCCTGGCAGCGCTGGAGCTGGAATGAGATCTGTGGCACGCTCAGCCCAAGATGGATGCACTCAGTCTTCATAGACTCATTTGACAAAAACAAAACCCAGAAAGAAAGGCTTTTGCTAAGAACACTTCAAAAGGTTTAGAACATTGCCACTTCACTTGCACCCTGGCAGCACCTGACACCAGACTGTCAGTGCAAAACTGAAAGAAAAACATTAAAAGGAGATAGTGAAATGATATAGTGGGAGCAGGGCAGTTTAACGCTAAAACAATCACACAGAATTCTAGATGAGAAGGAACATGAAGAGGCTTGACCAATTTCCTGATCACTGAGCACAGTAAAGCTCAAATTTCTAGGTGGAGGTGGCAGACGGGTGCATCAAGGGGAGAAATGTGGACTCCTGGAAGACGAAGTCATAAGCAGAGCTCTGCCCACAGAGGCCAGAGGGCAGCTTCTTCAGCTGCGGAGCTGGAGCCTCGGAGGAATTGCACAGCAGGGACAGATCACAGCATACGGTACGGGACTGGTTCTATCCAAAGAGTGAACCGCCATGCTTGTGGAAAGCAGAATGGAAAAATGGGAGGAGCCCAGATTATGGCTCCAGATAAACTGGGTTCGGATTCAGGTCCCATGGCTCACTGGGTGACTTGGGGATTTTAATGCCAACTTTGTAGATGTGTTGTGAGGGTTAAATGAGTTAACAGTAACAAGCACCGAGCACAGTGCCTGGTACACAGCAGTTATTCAACACGTGTTAGTGCTCGCTCTCACACCGTACCATGCCCTCTCATTTCCTGGTGAAGTGACATTAGGTAGGACTGTTTGGGTGCCTGTGCAGGGCAGAAAAGTTCAGAGCCAACTCACGCTTAGGGAGAACTCATACCGCCTAAACATAAAGGCAATTATATATATATATGTGTGTGTGTATATATATATATTTATATATTTCAATATATAAAGGCATTTTTTATAAATAAAATACAATAAAAAGAATAACACTTAAAACAGCGTTACTAATATAAATAAAGCAGTCCACAATGAGATTGTCCTAAAGGTAAAGCCATTTTCTCTTCCTTGTGGACAGATCCCATATTCAAACTCAATCTTTAAAAGCAGTTCATGACCTAAGGCTCATGCTAATACACCTGTTTCCTGAATCAAAATGGCTATGGACATTGACTCGCCTGTTTTCTAAAACTCCCTTTGTGACAGCACTGCTGTAACTTGATTGGCTAACACAGGGTATGTTTCCATATTCTGCGCGCTGGGACGTCGTCCTTTGCTAGTCCCAGAAATAAGGGATGCAGCTATCCCCCTCCAGAGCTAATTGCATCTAAGCAACATGAAGAATAAATCCAGTATACTATAGGCACGGACATCTGGAATGTAGAACTTGGGTCTACAGCATCCCTAATATCTGACTAGGGAATTACATTCACTACATTCTACTGGAAGTAACTCTTGCATAGTGACCCAGCTTAAACAAGCACATTTTCACTAACAGTTCTATTATAAAATATATAGACATATGTAAGGGAATACTGATGCATTTATACAGAAAGTTGGTTAACATAGTATTATATTCTATTTCACTGCGATTTCTGGGAAACTAACATTTCTTCACTTCTGCTGGAATTGCTTGACTCTATATAAAGAGAATAATCTTCTGTTTCTTTCCCCAAACGGATGCATAATGCAAAAAGGAGCAGTGATCCTTGAAAGCTTGACTCAAGCTATGAAACACACTGATATAATTATTGCTTTTTAATGTGAAGAGCCTTCCAAAGGCAGCTGCAAATGTCCTTGTCACGCAGAGGCAGCCGTGGTCAGGAGCTCTGCTGACCAACGCTTTGGGTGCCTGTTTACAAGGGTGACATTCTGAAAGAGGTATCAGGAAATTTCAGAAAAAAAAAACCAAAACACTCTTTTCTTCCAACGTAAGTCTTTTCTGACACTCACCCCTGCAGGCTGCTGCCTACGTTGGAGATGGGGGGTGACTAGTTTCAGTGTCAGGGCACCATGAGCATATTCCTACACTAATCCAACAGACTGGAGAGCTCCCACCAAGACAGGCTCCCTGCAGCCTTCCCCTTTCTTTCTTCTAAAAATGTGTATCTTTCTCTTCAAGCCACCACTTAATGTCTTATTTTGTTCCTACTCCTAGGAACGGTCAAAGAAAGCCCCATAGTAGCCATTTGATAAATTAATGTAATTTTCAAGCAGTGGGCCATTAGGCATTATTTGTCTCTCTGGCCTTGGTTTCTTTCCTGCATACTTCCGTAATTCATCAAGACCTTACACTCCACCATGTCCACAACACCATGACTAGTGCCTAGCCAACTGAACATCACTTGTGCCCACGTGCAGATAGAAAGTCAACAGGTCACATCACCACTTCTGTGGAAGGCACTCTTGAATATTAAAATTCACCAGCCAGGTCTGCTATTATAAACATGGGTCACAACTGCAGTTGACTTCAAAGTGTTCTCAGAAAGTCTGGTAATACAGGCCGGGCGTGGTGGCTCACGCCTGTAATCCTAGCACTTTGGGAGGCGGAGGCCGGTGGATCACTTGAGGTCAGGAGTTCAAAACCAGCCTGACCAACATGGTGAAACCCTGTCTCTACTAAAAATACAAAACAATTAGCTGGGTGTGGTGGCAGGTGCCTGTATGCCTGTAGTCCCAGCTACTCGGGAGACTGAGGTGGGAGAATTGCTTGAACTCGCGAGGCGGATGTCACAGTGAGCCGAGATCAAGCCATTGCACTCCAGCCTGGATAACAGAGCAAGACTCCATCTCAAAAAAAAAAAAAAAAAAAAGTCTGAGAATACACTATTAAAAGACCATTTTCTACCTGAAAACCCAGCTGGTGGCAACCTTCAATTGGCCCCTGCATTCCCTCTCAGCCAAAACAGCCAAGAGATGGGATCCTTTGCATGAGGAGCTCTTGCTGTCACTGTAGCTGTTAGAAAACATGGAAGGACCCCTCGGCCCTCCAGGTGACTGAATACTATGCAAAACAAGGTTGTTTCCTACTGAAGGGGAGGAAGGAATGGGGAAGAAAACATTTAAGGCATAAATAATATAAAAGGGCACACATTTTAAGATACATTCATATGACATTACTACTACAAAAAAATAAATAATGATTTTCTCTGATTTGAATTAAGGTCCTTCACACAGTTCACTCCCAGGCCTGTTTTGTGCAGTTACTGGCTTGAAGTCGGAAAATGACTGGTTGTTTGCACATCCTCAGGTTTCCTGGGGCTGCTGAAGGACCTCTGTCGGGCTGTCTGAAGGAATGCCAGGCGGAGACCACGTTGTCTTTTCAGCACAGCCCTCTGGGACAGGTGGCAAAATAAGAGCATTCCAACTTACAATGTTGTTCTCTGTTTCTGAATGGGCACAGCTGTCTCCTGAAACACAGAAAGGTTTGGGAGCATTATCAAATGATAAAGGTGGATTTTTACAAAGCAGTCTAAAAACTTCTTCACACTTTGAGCCATGAAGAAAGAAAAACGAGCGCAAGTAGAACCTGGTTTGTGTTTGAATTTGAGGGAGACAGAAGGTTTAAAAGGTTTAAATAAAGTTGAACTCTCATGAGTAGCTATATAATTCACCTGAGGATTAAAGCAACCCCTTAAAAGCCCTACAATAACCATCTGAAAGAAAGGTTACCACTCCAGAACCAACTCAAATCAAAAAGGGGCTCATGTTCACAAAATGCATTCTTCCACCACGTCTTCTATTACCCTATGAATGAAATCAAAGCCTATTTCCAAATAGATTTTCCCAAGTGTGATGGGATTGACAGCCTGAGATGAAGAACATGAGTAATAACAGAATTTCAAAGAATCCTTTAACTTGAGTCCTATCTTTTCTTGAAGGACCCAGCACCCCACCCAGTCTCCCAAGAACTATGTAAACTAATAGAGGGGAAACTCTGAAAGCATCACCTTCCCATACACAGCTCTTAGCTAACTGAAGACGATCTGGAATCCCAAGGTTGATCATGCCTTCCTGACCTCTGCTGAACTCTGCTGGATCTTCTGCGCGATCAGAGCTGACGTCATTTACAATGTTCTGACAGCAGGTACGCTGAGTAGGGACTGGTTCCACATTGTCCTTGACGCTCTCCTCAGGCAACTGACCACAATCAGGGACTGCGGAAGCCAGGCATACAGGCACCTTCATGTGACTGAGGGGCTTCATTTCCAAACCATCCTGAGGATAAGGTGCTACTACAGGGACCACAGGGAGAGGGCTGCTGCTGAAAGTGCTGTTGGTTTTGGTGAAACACCTGCAGAGTTTAAACCAAAAGAAACAGAATTGTGTCTAGAGGAACTAATAATTAAAATAAGCCTATTTTGAAATATCATTTGGTATTCTGTATTCACAGACTCTTAAGAAAGACTGATGCTTAAAAACAACCAAATGATTCATCATGATTTGAAATCCTGAGAATTTGAAAATGATAGTGAAAGTGCCACACAACAGGAGAATACATCAAAAGAAGACTTAAGAATGCATCCTTATACAATGTCCCAGCACACAGGCTTCCTTTGTCTTAGTCTACTGTCAGAAGTCATCTACCTCATTATTAACTGGCTCCCAAAAGTAGCACCCAGAAGGAAAAGGCCATTAGCTACTGGGAAGAATGAGGGAATGAAAGAGGAAGACGAGGACAGGAAGCTAAGAAATGTATGGCCACATGAAAGAAACGACCTTAGGAAAGTTAACCAAAAACACACTGCTTTGAAATCAGATGATATGTTCCCCCTCATTCTTGGAGGCAACACTAAGGATTAGACATTCAAAATCCAGGAATTTTTAATTTTTCAACTTTTTTCTTCACAGAATTAATTACTGGAATTTATTACCACGGAGCATTTCACATCAATTCTGCTCTACTTTTACTTCCTGCCTTTACCTACAATGTGCATTTTAATTTTTTTCTTTCTGTTCTTCAGACTGGACAATTTCTACTGATCTATCTTCTTGTCTGTTGACTTTTTCCTCTGTTGTCTCCAATAGCTGTTAAGCTCATCTAGTAAATTTTCCATTTTAGTTATTGAGCTCTTTAGCTCTGGAATTTCCATTTGGTCTTTTGTATAGGCTCTGTTTATCGGTTAAATTCCCTATAAGTTCATTTATTATGTGTATACCTTCCTTTAAGTCCTTGAACATATTTATAATGGCTGCTTAAAGTCATTATCTGCTAATTGTGACACCTGGGTCATCTCAGAGTCTGTTTCTATTGACTTTTTTCCCCCTTAATTATCACATTTTCCTGTTTCTTCACATGCATAGTAATTTTTTTTTAAACTGGATTTTCCTTTTAATTTTCTGGTTGCTCTGTTGGCATCAAACTCAGTGCTCTGATAGCTTCTGCTTGCATCCTTGCCCCGAGATTGGAGAACGCTTTCAGACAAAAACCCATAAACTCATAAATCTCACATATTTTATTACAAGGGTAGACTCTTATTGTTTCTGCCTGCTTCTGTTTATTCTCCAATAATTTCAAGTAATCCAGATTTTATCATTATTATCTGTTGATGATCAAGCTATTCCAACATTCTGGAAGTTGGAGCCTCAGAGACATTTTTTTCCCTAAAATTGGGAGTAAGAAAAGTCTGGAGATGACATTGCACTGGGCTTTGATTTGGACATGTTAGGTAGGAAACACATAGGACTGACTAGTAGTATCCTGGAGCTAGATAATGTTTGGCAATGAAGATAAGAATTATTTGGATTTGCATCCTTTAAACATGGGCTGATATGTTTCTGGGGCAAAGAAAAATCAGTAAAAGTCTAATCAACTTTTGCTAGCAGTTACACTGGTTCAAGTTATTGGAAATACCAAATCTTAAGCATGAAGACAGATATAAACCTGAAAGAGAATAAGATATCTGTCAGTAAACCAAATCTTTAAATAACTCCAACTTTAATTTCAAATAGAGAAATATACTCACTATATAGATAATTAAATTCAGAGACCAGTCACCTGGTAAGTAAGGTAAGACAAGTATTCATCTGTGCAGAATAATTATCTAATATGACTCTAATTTTAATGCTTAATTCTATAGCAAAAAAAAAAAATGCCTAATTTAGATATAACCTATGTGTTTCCACACATGTCTTCAGTGAATAAATAGTGAAGAAAACCCTGGTGCGGAAGCACGTTAACTGGAGCCACAATCAGAGCACTGGTCTAGAAGTGTCATGACTGCAGAAGAGTATGGCATTCCTGACTTATTCTCTCGTCTATTTTATTCAACTCTGAACTTATAAAAAATGTTTCTGGATGCTGGCAAAGGTGAGCACTAATCTGAAAGCCACTTAAAAATGCCCATGTGATCAGTGTCTTTCTTTCCTGCATTTTGTCATTAGTCTCCCAATACTCACGGAACCCTCAAGTCCCCCTGAATGTATTCAATGCATGGAATCTACAGACTCTAAACAGGGTGAAATGTGGGGCAAGGTCGGGGGGGGTGGGGCGGAGAAAAGCCTTTGTGAATTTGAACTACTACTACTGAGAATTTAATGATTATCCATCTATATAAATAACCTTATCTGAAAGAACCCTTTATTGAGAAAGGATTTGCTAAATACCTTCCATAGGTTAGACACCGTGGTAGGCACTGAAAGAGTGAAGAGTGAAGCAGAAAGAGAGTAGAGAGGGCTTTTATAAAGACTGAAACTCAGGACCAAATCATGTCAATCCCAGAATGACTTAAAGTGATCTGGCCCTTGTCCAACTGCCTGCCAAAGGCAGAAGGAAATCCTTTCTAGAGGGGGAAAACATCTTCCAGAAACTCTGCAAGTTTGTATATCTGATGTCTAAAATTCAATAAAAAGTACAGGGCACATCAGGAGGCAAGAACAAGAGAAAAACAAGTGACGTGGATAGTGAGTTAGCAAAGACTTTAAAACCTGGATGAATACATTCAATAAAGTAGACGACAATCATTTTAACAGAGAACTAGAATCTAATATTAATAATCACTTGAAAATTCTGAAATTAAAAGTAGAGTAACTGAAATTTAAGAACTCAACACGTGGGGATAAGAGCGAGCTGGGCACAGGTGAACAGAGGATTGTTGATCATGAAGCACATCGGTTCCCACGACAAAGGATGGAAATTATGAAAACAGCTGAAGGAACACAGGAGGCACCGCATGGCGAAAAACTCTATGTGTAACTGGAGTCTCTCTGCAGGGGAAAAAGAGAGAATGCAACAGAAGCCGCACTGGAGACATAGAGGCTAAGAGTTTTCTAAGCCTGATGAAAGCTCAAGCTGCAGACCCAAGCTCTGTGGATCCTAAGCAGAATAAATACAAAGAAAATTACACCTATCAATGCCAATAATTAAATGGGTAGAAGCAACATACAAAGACAAAAATCAAAAAAGCAGCCAGAAGAAAAAGACGTATTACCTTGAAAGGGAACAACAATAGCTGTATAGATGATTTTTCAACAGAAATGATGGAAGCAATAAAGTAACAGAATAATGTCTTTAAAATACAGAAAGACAGTAACTGCCAATCTAGAATTCAATAAGCGGTTAAAAAAAAAGAAAAAAAATCCTTCAAAAAGGAAGACAAATTAAAGATATTCTTTGACAAAAAAGTTGGGAAACTCTGTCACCTTCAGTCTTGTACTATAAGAAATATTAAGGGAAGTTCTTCAAGTTGAAGGACAATGACTAGCAACAGATTTTTTTAAAAAAAGGAAATACAGAAAGGAATGAGTAGCAACAAAAAAAGGAAACCAGGGAATTCTGAATAAATACGGATTGCAAAAGCAGTAATTTTAATGTCTTAGAGGATTTTAAGTATTTTTAGAATACAAATGATGAAAATAACACAAAACATTAGAGGGGGAAATGGAGTTAAAATGTTTTAAAGTATTTGTATTGTCTGAAAAGTAGTAAAAGTCCCAATTCACATTAAACTCTAACTAGTGTCATAATGGCTGGCACCAAGCACGTAGAAAATGACACACAATAGGACTTCAAAAATGTTTAAACATTAGAACACCAGACTGCTTCCTTTTTTAATTATCAGGGAGCAACAATTAAACTAATAGTCAAAGTACCTTATAGCAGCCCATGCCCAACAGTAAGATAGACACATATATTAAAGTGAGAATGAATGGATACACTTTGAGTTTTTGTATCACGATAGTAGTTATTTCTGTCCTAGTTCAATACTGATTCTGGGATCTGTAAGGTTCTTCTATTATCTGTCAGCTTCAAAGTTGTCTGACTTACACTTCGGTCTCCTGGAGTAAAGGCAATGACAGTTCTCGGTGTCAGATGCCTTAGGACACACAGTACAGTCAGGTACTTAATGAAATACCTCAACAGTGATGGCCTAAAATGTACTAAGTGATCTTCTGCCTTGATGTCGCATTGCTCTGCAAGAATCTGGAGGTAGCTGGGCGCGGTGGCTCAAGCCTGTAATCCCAGCACTTTGGGAGGCCGAGACGGGCGGATCATGAGGTCAGGAGATCGAGACCACCCTGGCTAACACGGTGAAACCCCGTCTCTACTAAAAAATACAAAAAACTAGCTGGGCGCGGTGGCGGGCGCCTGTAGTCCCAGCTACTCGAGAGGCTGAGGCAGGAGAATGGCCTGAACCCAGGAGGCGGAGCTTGCAGTGAGCTGAGATCTGGCCACTGCACTCCAGCCTGGGCGACAGAGCAAGACTCCGTCTCAGAAAAAAAAAACCAAAAAAACCCAAGAATCTGGAGGTAATAAAAAGCTACTAGAAACCTGTATTTTCTTTATGGGTCTCACTCTGTTGCCCAGGCTGGGCATGATCATGGCTCACTGCACCCCTGACCTCCCTGGCTCATGTGATCCTCCCACCTCAGTCTCCAGAGTAGCTGAGGCTACGAGAATAGGGCACTTCCCACATTCTAGGCAGAGGCCAGTCCCAGTATATTCTTCCTGATTGCATCAGACTCAATCAGACTACAGACATGTGCTACCATTCCTGAAAAATTTTTTAATTTTTTTTTGTAGAGATGGGGTCTCATTATGTTGCCCAGGCTGATCTTGAACTTCTAGGCTCAGGCAATTCTCTCACCTCAGCCTCCTAAAGTGCTAGAATTACAAGTGTGGGCCACCACGCCTGGCTAAAACCTGTATTTTTAAAATGTAGAAGTATCAGATCAGAAAGAAAAGTTTTCATTTAAGAGAAGTAATAGGAAAAAAACACACACACACATATTTGCCGGAATTTGAAAACCTAGGACAGCTCCCTACAAAATATTAGAAATTAATAACCTGTTTAT